CGAGGCCGCGGAGCATCTGGCGGCGCATCTCGAGGAGGGAAACCGGCATAAACTCTCGGAGGTCTGACGTTGCGCAAGGAGGGGGCGATCCATGGGGGGGTGAGGTGCACCATTTGTGCCCTAAAGGGTCCCCCGTGGGCCCAAAAGGGGCACGAAATGTGCACGTTTCCCCCCCCCCCCCCTCTCCCCACGATCGCCTCCCATGAAGCAACGCCCGAAGAGGTCCGCGCGAATTTCTTCGATCGGCGCTGGACCCCCTTCCGTGGCGCGCGGAGCGCGCCAGGGGCGGCGCCGGAGGCGTAGCCAACGGGGGACCAGCTTGGGCGTCACGTAGTGGGGGGGCGGTAAATCGGGGGCAGCGAGGGCTGCAGAAAAGGAGCTCTTTAGGGCCCCCCAAAGGCCCAAAGGGGCCCTTTGGGGCCCAAAAGGGAGCCTCTACTCCCCCCCTCACACTTATCGCCCCCCTCCTTAAGCGACGCCCAAGGCCAGCGCGGATCTAAGAAATCAGCGAGGACCTTCCGAGAGGTTGTGTTGGTGCGTTGTTTGTTTCTTCCTCTGACATCTTGCCGTGGCCACCGCCGAGACGGCCCCGGCCGAGCTGCACCTGTCCGACTGCGCCATCACCGGGCAATGCCAAGGGGGGTCGCTATTGGGGGGGGGGGCTCGAAAGGGGGGGATAGGGAGAGTGCATGCAGCTGATTTCCGCCCCGCCGCCGGGCCCCTTCGTCTGCACATGGGCGCCTCCCGGCGCCAGGGAAGCCAGCTACGTGAGCTGATCCTCTGCCCTGCCCTTTGCTGTCCTGCCCGTTCGTGCCCCCCCGATGCCCGGGGGGTCGCCATCTCTTCGAGGGAGCGCCGCTTCCTCCAGGCGGTGCCCCCCCCCCCAGAACACTCCAGGTCCCCCCCCCCTTCCCCGCAACAACCCCCAAACGTCCAGAAGCCACCTCGAGCTTCGATCCTGGAACCTCGATCCTCAGCTGGCGGCCCCCGCCCCCCCCCCCAAAAAAAACGGCAGATCAGCTTCTTCGGCGTTTTCTGTTTCCGCTCCAGCTTCTTTCGGTCCCTGCTTCTCGCGTGTCCAGCGCCGGCTCTTCGAAATGGAGCGGCGCAGTCCGGCGGCAACCTTAAGTCGGGCATGTCCCTCTACAGGAAGAATGCAAATTCGAGAATGGTCAACAAATAGTATGGGGACGACTTGTTCTACTATTTTTGAGCACGTGCTGATTTCTTATTTTCTCCCCAAATCCGCCTGTTGGAGGACGTGCCCGACCTCACAGTAGTTTCCCGCCCCCTCCCTTCGCTGCTCCTGCGTGTGCGCGCTGGCCGCAGGAAGTGCCACGGCCGTCTTGACCCAGGCTGGCCCGAGGAGGCGGCGTGGTCGCCGAGAGCCCACCCCGGGCGCCTGCAAAACGGGCTGCCCTGACCGCGCGCGTCAGATCGTCACCTGTTGTACGCATCGTGTGGTCGGCGCCCACCCGAACATGCTTCTTTGGTGTGCGCGTCGGCCCCGCAAGAGGGCGGCGCGCACGCCCAGAGATCTTGCAGCAGAGGCTCCGTGGCGGGCACTGCACGGCCATGCCCCTCGGGAAACGATATGCCGTAAGATTTGCACACGACATGCTCGTGTCGGACAGGCGCCGCCGACATCAGCACACAGTACTCGTAGGTGCTTCTGCTCCCTCTGCTGCGTCTGCTGTGGTGGCCCCCCTTGGCACTGACCGACGTCACCACCGCCGGCTTCCTCGCCCTGATGCGCGCCGTCGAGGAGGGTGGCGTCTACCCGAAGGCGCCCCGCGCCCACCGCCAGGAGATGTCCGGGCCCAGCGTTTCGGCGCCGCGTCCCGAGGGCCTCTCCGGGGGAGCAGTGGATGTTGGATGTGGCTACAGTCGGGGGCGCAAAAGAGGGGGGTGATGACTAGGGCGGGGTGGATATCATGGCGTGGGCCATATTTCCCCAGATTTCATGGCGCCTCTTCTTATTTCATTACGTCCCTGGCCCCCCCGCTGGGCCGCGCACATGCCGCCAGTCATGATTTGCACCCCCCCTCTTGGACACCCCCCTCTTGGCCGCTCCCGATACAGTGGAGGCCCATGTCAAGGAACACCCTGCTTGCCTCCAGGGTGCCCTGGGCATCTTTTGGGTTTCGAGGGTTGTGCTATGGAGGGCACGACGCTCCCACGCCAGAAAATCAGGGGACGCCATGGGGTCTCAGGCTCGGGTTTCTTGTGGGAGGTCTCTTGTGGCCGGGTTCCTGCTGCATCTTTGGGTTCAGATCGTAACTCACGGAGGCGTCCGCTCGCCGCTCGCCCCCGCCCGAGGGTGCAGCGGCGAGCCGCGCCCACTGGCGGCGGCGCTCCAGAAGGGGCCTCGCCCTCGAGGCCCGGGGGAGTTGCCACTGTCTCCTCGGCGGAGGGCGGCAGAACGTCGGCTGCGGTCGGCAGATGTGAGAGGAGGGCGGCTCCGCTGGCGGAAGCCCGCGGTAGCCTGGCGGCTGGCGGCGGAAGTACCAGTCGGGGCCCTGAAGAGGGAGCCCTTTTCGTTGGGGAGGGGCTCGGTGTTCCTGGATTGTTTCACAGCTTGCCTCAGGTTTTCCTGCAGTTTTCGGTGGGAAGTCGAAGTTTTTAACTTGTGGAAAAAAGGGGCCTCGTTCCTTATTTAGGGTTCCTTAGGTTGACGCCCCGACTGTAAGACATGGGCACCCAAGAGGTGGCGGGGTTGTCTGGTTCAGGGTCTCCGGACTCGGACACTGAACGACAGAAGCCTTGGCTGGTCTTGGATTGCATGCCAGGCGGCGATCCGCGCGCACAGGGCGCCCAGTGGCGCCGAATAGCGCTGACAAGGCTCCCAGTGGCGCCCAGCAGCGCCATGGGGCGCGCTGCTGGGTGCCCTGGGGACGGCCAAAAGTCACCGAGCGCGTTCCACTACTCGCAAAGTGCCTTCTCGCAAACGTCCGGAAAACACAGACCTGCTTCGGTGTAATTCATCCTAGATCCCCCGCGGCGGATCCAGGCCATCTGCGAGGAGTTGCTTTGCAAGTAGTGGAAAGCGCTTGACTAAAAAGGCTTCTGTGAGCTGCCTTCTGACTATCTGCCCGCCCTGGAGGGCGGGTGAGCGGGACCCCGGCCCCCTCGCGCCGTAGAGGATCGCGACGGGATCTCAAGGGCGTCCAAGGAGGGGGTGCGGCAAACCCCGATGGGCTTCACTGTTTTCGACCTCTCGGGGCCCTGGCCGGGCTCGGGAGCGGCACGAAGCCGACTCGGGATGAGGAACCGGTCCCGGGGGGCGTGGTCGTCGAGAGGTTGGGGGCCCGCGCCTCGAAAGAAGCACGGCGCCGGATGTCTGGGAATGGGGGGAGGCGAGGAAAGGTGCACCGCTCGTGCCCTCAAGGGGCCCCCTTGTGCCCAGCAAGGGTACGAAAGGCGCACGTTTCTCCCCCCCACATATCGCCCCCCCCCAATGATGAAAGCCCAAATTTCAAGGGTGTTCGCGGTTCGGTCGGTTCGGTTGTGTCGCAGTCCGTTGTGCTCGGTCGGTTCGGTCCGGTCGGTTAATCGTGCCGTTGCCGCGTAACGCTGCGCCTTCCAGGCTGCTTTCGGCCTGCCGATTTCGGTCGGTTCCGCTTTCGCTGTTGGTTCGGTCGGTCTTCGGTTTTGCTGTCGCCGTGCACGGCCTTGGCTCTAGGTTTATCGCTATGTTCGGCATCGGGGCTTCCACCGGGCTTCGGAACCGTTACACATCAATACAAATCAGGAAATGTTCGGCATCGGGGCTTCCACCGGGCTTTGGAGCCGTCACACATCAATACAAATCACGAAAGGAAAAAAGCACACAGACTCAATGAATCCTCGATCCCCAAGAATAGATGGGAAAATATGGGAAGTGGGTGGGAAGACGAAAGTTCAGAAAATATCAGAAAATCATGGGGGATCCTGGGATTTGTGTGCATTTATTTGTGTGTGTGTGTCCCTGGGAAACGCTCGGGATGAAGAGCCCGTCCCGGGGAATCATGAGGCGAGACCTCCGAGGGCCAGCGCTCCAACGCAGGTCGTGGTGTGTCGGGGGTCTGGGCAGGGCTTCTCCGGACTCTGGATCCGCCGTACTCTGTGCGACTTCGTCCCCAGACATCGTGAGTTTTGCGCGACGTTGTTCTTCATTGCGACGTCGGATCTCAGGACTCAGGGATCCGCACGGATTTCCCGAACCCAGCGTTGGTCCGCCCTCCCCGCACCCCTGGTGGCGCATCTGGCGCCACCCTTGGCGCGCTCCACGCGCTGGGGAAGAACTGTCGTGCGGGGAGGAGTGCCCAGCGCCGGCTCCGAGAACACCGCGCGGACCCAGGCATCGGGCGTCTCGAAAAAATCGAGACGGAGGTTATTCATGGTTTTTGACCTCTGGGGGCCCTGACCGGACCTTGGGAGCGTCAAAGAACGACTCAGGATTAAAAACCGGTCCCGAGGAAGGGGTCCAGACCTCTGGGGGTCGACATTGTGAACAAATCACGACGTCGGAGGTCTGGATTCTTGGAATCACCCCTGCTTCTGAGAAGCCTTCCCCCCTCACCCTACCCTCTTGCGCGCGCCGCCAACACTCCCCGGGGCTGGTTTGTCGTGCTAAATCGTTCTGTCGACGGTCCCGAGGCCTGGTAAAGTCGACTGCACGTAAGAGGGACCTTTCGCCGGAGTGACCTTTGGTGCGGGCCCAATGGGGTCCCCCGATCGCCGAACGCCATGCGGTAGTAGTGTCTTGCGCGCTTGTGTGTTGGTTCCCCCGCGACCCCCAAAAGGTCGCGCACCAAAGGCCCCTCTTACCCAGGGTCATTCTCGCGTGGAGTCGATACAAGGGGCCCCAGAGGCCGAAAATACCGAAAAACCGCCCGTCGTGAATTCTTCATGACTCGAGGGTGTCTGGGGCGGCAGAAATCGAGGAAGAGCGCCAGCATTGAAAAAATCGTACAGTGGAAACCCTTGCCAAGGAAGGCCCTGCTTGCCTCCTGTGAGCCCTGGGTTTCGATGGTTTTGCTATGGAGAGCGTGACGCTCCCACGCCAAACATCAAGGGACGACCTGGGGTCTCAGGGTTGGGCTTCTTGTGGGAGGTTTCTTGCGGTCGGGCTCCTACTGTCCTGCTGTGTCGTCTGAGGTCTGGGCGTGCCGCGGCAAAGTTGATTCTGCCGAGGCCGTGGGGCCGGAGGAGACGCAGCCTCTGTTCCTGCGCTGCGAGCGCAATTTCATCGACGAGGCGGTGCGTCCGGCCGGCGCCCGACTCCGCCGAGGCCCCTTCAGAAGGGGGCTGGCGCGAGGGGGGCGGCCGTCCGAGGAGGCTCGGGGGGCGGCTCCTGGTGGTCATCGCGGGAGTCCGCCCATGTCTCACACGTTTGAGGCCACGGCCTCCACGCCCTGCCCCGATGGGCACGGGCGTGCTCCCCGCAGGAGCACGCACGCCTCCAGCGTTCGCTTCGCTTCGCTGCGCTTCCTGGGGAGCCATCCGGACTTCTGGGAGGCCCCCCCTTGGAAGCCTCCGGTAGCCGTGCCGAGGCAGCCCCTGCCTACCCAGAGGCTCAGAATGCGTAAAAAACAACACACTTGCTTTAAACAGCGCCGATCAAACAACGATGAACACGATTTACGCTAACAATTTACACATGTTGTTTAGTTTCAGTGCGTAAAACCATTACACTGTTTAAAACTATTGCTGATTGTGCGTAGTTGTTAAACACACATGGTAAACCCATGATTTAAATACACAGTTATGTTGTCCGCAATGTGGGATCGCGGATCCATGTCTTCAACTGCTGTAGCATCCCTCGCTCTGTGTTCCTTGTTTCGGTGTGGACTCCTGATTGTGCGGGGACGCGTTGATAAACGCGCTTCGCTTGGGGGCCCACGATGGCCTCGGGGGCCCGCTCGGTGCAAGCACTGCTTGGGGCGGTCAGAGTTGCGAGAAGAGGCGGCGGATCGATATTGACAATGATAACTGTCAATATCGTCATCCTCAATCCCACCATAGCCATTTGGGCCCACAGCTTGGCTGGAGGTAGATATGGGGAGACGCATCAGGACCAAAGGCACAGATGTCAATGTCGAACGCGCTGCCGCAATATTAGCCGACACTGTGCCAGCCTCGAGGTGCAAAGCGAACAAATGATTCTTGGTGAAAAACATTACGAAGGCTGGAACAACGTCAGATTGGGAATCCATTCGAGTTCACCAGCAAACGCTCGCACATATTCTCGACGAGACGGGGGGCCGCATACCGAGGCAGAGATTATGGGAGCTTTGAGTCAAGAAGTTCGTCAACGATAGTGGGTTGGATTTTTCTCACCAAGATATCGAGAAATGCGCTTATCACGGGCGCGTGATGTTCATGAGCTTGTTATCGTGCAAAAGGAATTCTCGGAAGCCTCCAAGAGCTTTCGGTTGCCTCAACACCCTCATCGACAAAATGCACATCGACAGTAGCCACCAGGCCGACGGGGAGATGAAGAAGAATGAGGTCGACACAGCGCCCGCAGTAGACGAGCGCGATACGGTTGTGGAGATTATGCCGAAGAAGAAGCAGCCCGTGGTCTGTATGTCAGTTTCGGACACCTCCTCGGCGGAAGACCTGGGCGACTTGGAGCAGCGAGTGTTCTCGAGAGCAAGGGCGACTACAACTGCTGCTCCTGGACACGATGCGTCGAGTGAGATCAGTGAGCCTCCGGAGTCAGCGGCCGTCAAGCCCGACGAGTACAAGAAGCTCAAGGCAAAGCTCAAGAACAGCATGAAGGCAGCGAAGGCAATGAAAGCGACGAAGGCCAGCACGAAGGCAAAGAAGGTCGAGCACAAAACGGCCATGAAAAAGAACAAAAGAAACGATTGGCGGTGAAACAGAAAAAGGACGATGTTCTCGCCAGCACGGTCGACGCCGACGACCCCCTTCCAGAAGTACGTCGACCAGGTCAAGGATGGCATTGACATGAAAGTTGTGAAAAATCGCGTGCGTTCCAAGTACGACCACGATGAGCGTGTGCGGTGCGAGGCCCTCGGCATGCGCCCAGAGCAGTGGAAGCCTAAGGCGGCCGCAGCGGGGCGGGCAGGCGTGGTGCGCTGGAGTTCGCTGTTGTGAGCCAGCCACTGTAGCAGCTTCTCCCTCGTGCAGTTCCTCCCCTCATCCTCCTTATATGTTTATTCCTCCTCATCGTCATTAGCCTCATCCTCATCCTCGTTCTCCTTCTCTTCCTCGTTTGCATTCAATCTTTTTTGAACAGTAACTCATCCTCCTCCACCTCCTCCTCTTCGTTTTCTTTCAAACGCGTTATTCCCCTCGTTTGCTCGCTGGGCACTGGCTCAGCGCAGCGTCTCGGCGCGGGCCCGAGAGGCGTCTGCCTAGATAGCGTCAGATCCCTCAGATCCCCCCTCCCCTCCTCCTCCTCCTCCTCCTCCTCCTCCTCCTCCTCCACCTCCTCCTCCTCCTCCTCCTCCTCCCCCTTCCCTCCTCCTCCTCCTCCTCCTCATCCTCCCCCCCTCCCCCATCCCTCCTCCTCCTCCTTCTCCTCCTCCTCCTCTTCCTCCTGCTCCTCATCTGTGGGCCTGTCTGCATCTCTCTGAGGAGAGAAAGCCAAGCGATTTCTGCCCTACTTGAGTACCTGCTCTGTTTGAGTATCCGCGCACGCCACTCGGCACGGGCAACGTCGCAATGATGGAAACGATCTTACATCATCACCACCACCACCACCATCATCATCAGCAGCAGCAGCAGCAGCATCATCATCATCATCATCATCATCTCGAAGCTCACCTGAGCCTTCCTGTGACATCCTCTGGCGCTCGCGGGGGTAGCGATCTTACGGTAAAGGGCGTTTCAAGCATGTGGCGCTCCGACGGGACCCGAGAGGACTTCGCGAGGGCTCCCGAGAGATGGCGACGATTTGGGGCGCTGGTTGACGTCGAGGGCGATGACGATGACGGTGACGGTGACGGTGACGACGATGATGATGATGATGTTGATGATGAGGATGAGGATGCTGATGATGATGATGGTGGTGATGCTGGTGATGGTGATGGTGATGATGCTGATGATAATGGTGATGATGATGATGATGCTGATGATAATGATGATGCTGATGATGACGATGATGATGATGAAGCGCCCAGAAGAACCCCAGGAGAGCCCCTTATTATATCGACCTCGGATGGCCAAGTCGCACTTTGGCGTAATTCTTGACGCTTCGCGTAACCCCACCAGCCCATCCAGAAACGATCAGCAGGGGGGTTGGTGAATCAGGGGCGGCAGGACGCATGCAGTCGCGCAGCCGTCTTCGAGACCACACGCATCCCACATAGCTTCCCGCATTGAAGTTGAAGATGGGCATCCGGGAAAATAACGATGGCGTTTCGATGAGAGGTGAGGGGTGCTTCGATGACTCGCGATGGCTGTTGCACTGGTTTGTATCTTAACCCGCGTGCGTTCCCAAACTTGGAGGCATCTTGTGGCCTTCTTGGGATTCTCTTGGGCCCATCTTGGGGCCTCCTGGGGCTCTTTCTTGGGGCTCTCCTGAGGCCATCTTCGGGCATTATTGGGGCTCTTTTGGAGCGTCTTGGGGCCCTCGTGGGGCTTTTTTGGGGGGTCTGGGGGCCTTCGCAGGGCTCTTGGGGGGTTGTCTGGGAGGCCTCTGGGGGCCATCTTAGGCAGCATTGATCAAAAAGAGGGGGGTGGGTGGGGGGGGGGGGGGGGGGGGGCAATTCTTGCCCCCCCCCCCCCCCCCCCCCTCCTCGGAGGCTCAACCATGCCGTCGTGTGGCCCTCTTGGCCCGTTCTTGGGACGCTCGTGGGCGCTCTTGGGGCCGTCTTGGGGCTCTCTTGGGCCCCATATTGGGGCTGTCTTGGGTCATATTGGGGCCATCTTGAGGCCTCAAGGGCCCTTCGGAGGCGAACATGAGAGACGGCAAACAACATGGATTTTCCTTCGGTGTTTGAAGGATGTTGACCTCTGGGGGGGGGGGGGGGTCCTTGGAGGCCTCGGGGGGCGCCTGAAACCGTCGTGGGGCAGTCGCGCGGCCTCTTGCGCGTGCCGGATGCTATCTGGACCCGTCTACTGGTATCTTGGCCGTCTAGGTCCAGGGGGGGTCCCGAGAGCGCCCCAAGAAGGCCCTGAGAGGACCTCAGGAGAGCCCCAAGAAAGAGCCCCAGCAGGGAAAAGCCCTAGACCACCTGCGCCCAGAGGGCTGGTGGGATAATGTGAGCTTCTGTCCGCGTTGCCGTTTTGGCTCAAGCTGGGCAGCTGATTAGCAGCTGATACACGCAAAGCAGATTGCGCGCGACCGTTCATCATGCCACCAACCAGGGCACGCTCAGATGACAAGTGGTTCAAGGGCACGGCGCACCGCCTCACGGCAGAGGGCAGCTTCCAAGTACACCCGCCTTCCTCGCCACAGTCTGCTGATGGCGACTCCATGGCCGTTGATGTCGACATGCTCTCCGAATCTGGTGCCCAGCACAACTCAGAGGAAGCTGTGGAAGCATTTCAAGTCCCAATGGTGGCGATAATCCAGAAGATAGAGGACGTCAAGACGGTCGCGAGCTCGAAGATGGCGCAGCTTCCTGACCACAAGTACATGGCCGACTTTTCGAAGCAGCTGGAGGAGTTCGTCGTCGAGCGTTGTCTACAAGTCTCTGTTGGTGAGAAAGTAGCCCGAGACACCTCTGGCGACCTCGCCGAGAAGGTCGCCAACGCCACGATGGCCGCCGACAAGCTCTCGCGCGACTTCCAGGACTTGATGAAATGGCGGCGCCGTCTGACGGTCGAGCCCGACGACTCGCGAGCGGCAGCCGCCGAGCCCTCAGAGCCCTCATCGGACACTATCATCGAGGTCCAGGAGACGCCCAAGGCCAACGCCAAGAGCAAGGGCAAGGCGAAGGCCAGTCAGCGCAAGGGCACGACCAGGAAGGACCCTCAGCCGAAGCGCCAGGGAAACTCCAAGAAGGGCAAGGCCCAGGTCAAGGGAAAAAGGGAAAACGAAGAAGAGGAAAACCGATGACGATGAGACCGAGTAGACAGTTCGAGAGGCTGCAATGTGTAACTTTGGTGTCTGACGTGGCTGCGATCGTCGTCTCAGATGGTTGCAGGGCTATGCCGTAGGCCACTTCTTCAAACTTCCTGGGGTCACGGCTCTGTGGGTAGACTCCATGGGGTGGGGCCGAGCTGCCCAGAAAAACCATCGTCGCAATCGCAACAGCTGAGCAACGTGTTCATCACCATGACCATGTTCATCG